TTCTTAATGACAGTTGCAAAGTCTATAACTCCAGTCCCCATAGAATTAACTTTTCTAACTAATGACTAGGGCAAGCTGATGTCATTGCTTAGAAGTTCCCAAAGACATAAAGCGCGTATAATAAAGGGAGAACATGCCAACATGGCAGCTGCCGGTCCTGGCTGCTTTCTTTCTCTACAGATCCCCTTCCAATGCTTGTAGGTAGATTAGCCCATCCGAAACCAGCAGTACAAAACTGGCACCTAGGAAGTGTCCCAAAAGAGAGACAGGATGCTTCGACCACGCTAGGTTTCTGATTAGATCAATTTTTTCTTTTATTGTTATTATTATTTATCACTATATGTTACAAGTGTCTGATAAATTAGTATGTTGTGCAAAAGTGGTTGGTTGTGGCTTTTCTAAACATCATTACAGTCTGAAAAGGCACAAAGAACATACTGTTTCTAGGCTACATCTTCAGTTAACTGGAAACCAAGCCTTGAAAGTCCTACTGCCTAATTACAGGTTTCAACATACTGAAAAAAATATGATGACAATATAGCTGCAAAGGTGTGGTTTTTGCAGAAATCCTGAAGTATTACCATTCACCAAAAAGTATCAGCAAACATATCTACTTCGACTTATCACTAAATCTGCAAACAAGACTCAAAGGGACTTCCGGAGATCTCAACTTCTTTCTGAAAAAGTCAGGGTACCTAGGGTTGTTTGACTCACCCAACTCCAAAAAAATTGTTATTTCTACTGGAAGATAATACTCTCAATACCAAATCTGCAAGACTGACAATCGAGTGACTTTCGAAGGTACTGAGAGCATCAGAAACAGCACAAGGTGAGTTTCATAGACATTTTTGTTTTGATCTGTGTTTACTCTTAGTCATTTTCTTCTATTTTCTGGAAATGTATGCAGTAGATACTACGTTTTGTTTGTGTGCACCATATTCTTGACATTAACTGACACCAAATTTCTACTGTAGCTGAATACCTCTCTATTTTTCAAAGTGTTGTTTCCATAGTTCCTCAGAATAGGAAACAAAAACGATGATTGAAAACCCTGAATTAAAAATGTATACCTATATGCTATGAGGAGAGAACAGTCTTCGTTCAGACCTACTGCTTAATCCGCACACCCTTTCTTGTCTGTGTGGGCAAAATCTCTCCATACTGAATTTAAAATAGATTCCTGGTCCCAGTCTTGGACAGATCTTCATTTTTCAATTTTGCAATCATGAAAATAAATGAAAATCATTAAACACTTAAAATGGTTTTGGGAGACAAAGGCTTTTTTCCTTCTTTTTTTCATTATTATTATTTCAGAGATGGGGAAATGGGGAGAACTTGGTTAACAGATACAAAAGTGCAAAGCTTTAAGTGAATGGTGTAAAAAATTTCTAAACAAAAAGTTAATACAAAACTATATTAAGTGTTGCTATAGGGACCAGCAGACGGCGTAATGGTTCCGTGGCTGGACTCCCATGCAGTCGACCATAGTTCAAGTTCTAAACCTTGTGCTTTAAACTCACACCAGGCATGTGTGTGTTCATACCCAAAATCCCAAGACGAGAATGGAGAAGAAGGGACTGTGGTGTGGCCATTCCCCCCAGCGGGTGATTTCTCACTTTCAGTCTCTCTTTGTCTTTCTCTGTCTCTCTGTTGAGCACATGTGACAAATAGCAAAAATCTTTCTTAAAAAAAAAAAAAAAGATGTTGCTATAAATATTCAACCAAGACACAGTGAATTTTTTTTAGAGAGAGAGATTTTTACTATAGGGCACATATGCTCACTGGAGAGACAGAGAGAAAGCAAGAAATCATCCCCAAGGGGAGATGGCCACACCGCAACCCCTACATTCTCCTCTTGGGATTTTTCAGGATTTGGGGGCACACACACACATGCACCCAGTATGAGTTTTAAACCACTAGGTCCAAGACTCAAACCGCGGTCAACTACATGGGAGTCCAGCGACATAACCATTATGCCACCTGCTGGCCCTGTGACTGATTTTTAAATGTTAACTGAAGGACTTCTCCTGCCTCTAAAATAACCTCTTTGCCATAGATCTACTTTGTTAGTTCCTCGATTTGGCACTATCATTCGTCTCCCTCTCATATAAATAACAGAAGGGGCTATTATCTGCATGAGACCAGCGTGATAAGGTATAGGCAACTTTTGGAAAGAGCTAGTGGCAGAAAGAGAAGCTTTCTCAAGCCCTTTTCCATAAGTCTATGGAGCTGATTGCTATGTTTCAGAGAAGCTGATCTTGAGGCATGACATAAAGCACAGGAAGTAAACCATAATAGGAAGGGGTTAACATAAGATGAGGGGCCAAATGGAACCAAAAGACAGCCTTTATGGGTGGTCCATCCCTGGAGGGCTGTGTATCAAGGCAGTGACATGAAGGAGGCAAGCCCGAAAAGAGAGACTTCCCATTCCCCACCCCCTCCCAACTTGCTCAGGACACCTAGGAGAGGAAGAAGTCTAAGACACATTTAATTAAGTTGTCAGGAAAGTCGTGATGTATTTTTCCATGTAAAAATTTGCCATGGGGGCCGGCTGGTGACGTAGTGGTTAAGGGTGCTAGACTCCCACATAGCTGACCGCAGTTCGAGTCCTGGACCTGACAGTTGTTTGCTCTCTCTCTCTCTCTCTCTCTTCCTCTCTCTCTGTTCCTCTCTGGTCAAATAAAAATAAGTAAATGAATAAATAAAGTTAATAAAGTAATTCTTAAAAAAATTTTGCCATGACTTTCCCGATGACCCAATACTTAATTCCCCAGTTATACCAACCACCACAAAAAGTGAAGTGAAGGTAGTGGTAACATGGAGAAAGTCTTAACCAAGAGTCGGGACACTTGAGCTCTAGGCCCAGGGGTGATTCCTGTGCTGTGTATCCTTGGGCCAGCTGCTTTACATCTCTGTGCCTCATTCTCTATTTATAAAATGAAAAAAAAAATTAAAACTCTTAATTCCCTTTAAAGGCTAAAATGACTCTATAGAATGCATTCACTTGTTATTTTTAAAAATATAGTGATGCAGGTCAGTCAGGTAGAATAATGGTTAAAGTGGCTGGATTCTAACTGCATGGTTCGAGTCCTGGACCTAGCAGCTTGAAAAATACCCTAAGTGCGTGTGGATTTATGCCCAAAATCCCAAGAGAAAAGTGGAGGAGAAGGGACTGTGTCATGGTGATTCCCTCTGTGTGTGGGGAGTGTTTTCTCTCACTCTCTCTCCTCCTCCCTCTCCTCTCTGTCTCTCTCTGGTGAGCACATGTGCCCTATAGCAAACTAAATATATCACATATGTGTAATGATGTTTGGGTCATAGATAGGTTAATTTAAAAGAAAATTAAACCACTACTTTCCTTTTACTTGCTGACCAGTAAGCCAGGCAGCAGAATGTGACTTTAAAGAGTTGGAGACAATCTAGTCAAGACAGTGTTGCTATTAGAACTGGACCTTGACCCCCAGTTTAAGAATGAGCAAGTCTGGGACCAGGAGATGACATAATGATTGAGTCATTGGACTCCCATGTGGTCGATCTAGTTCGAGTCCCAGACCCAGTGGCTTAAAAGTCATGCTGAGTGGAGTGTATGCTTATGTGCCCAGGATCCCAGGAGGAGAATGGAGGATAGGGGATTGCAATGTGACTGTTCCTTTGTGGGTGATTTCTTACTTTCTGTTTCTCTGTCTCTCTGTCTATCTGTCTCTTTCTGTTTCTCTATGTGAGCATACACCATAGGGCTATGACAAAAATCTCTCTAAAAAAAAGAATAAGCAAGTTTGCCCTCAGCTGAGGAGTGACATAGAGGCAAGACTCTCTTTACTCTCTCCAAACTTCCCAAGGCTTCCAGGGTTTTATCCAGCCTTCTTTAAAGAACTGTTCAAAAAACATCACAGCTGTGTCGTCAGTTGTCTAGTGAAAAGTTCTTGTCCTCCAAAAGCTGGAGCATGGAAATCACAGTCTCAGGCCAACGTGACCAGCCAACAGGGGAACAAGGACTGGGTTCTTTTCTATGCAAAAATCCATCGTGACTTTTCTAACAGCCCAGGTCAGTGAACATAGTCAACCATGCAGTTCAAATCCTCACCCTGTGACTTGAAAAACACTCGGGGCACATGTATATGCATGCCCAAAATCTCAACAGGATGGAAAAAATGGAGAAGTTGTTGAAGGATGATCATGTTCCAGTGAGAAGTGCTTTCTTCTCTCTCTCTATCTCTCTTTTTCTCTCTCTCTCTCTCTCTCTCTTTCTCTCTCTCTCTCTCTCTGGTGAGCACACATGCCTTAAACAAAACAATAGAGAAAAGTATCCAAGACTCAGATTTATAAGATTTTGGACAAATTAGTTTTTAGAATAAGAAGAACCTAGTTTATTCTCCTATAAAAATCTGTAACTTAAACCTAAGCACAATATCTTACTACAAGAAATAACTGGTTTAATCTCTCCCTCTCTTCAGGGTTGTACTATTCTCCTTAATGAATTTAAATTCTCTGTTAAGATTCCAAAAGTGTGGGAACCAGCAGTTAGCGTAATGGCTATGTCGCTGGACTCCCACATAGTCGACCACGGTTCGCATCCCGGACCCGGTGGCTTAAAACTCACGCCGGGTGTGTGTGCGTGTGTGCCCAAGATCCCGAGAGGAGAATGGAGGAGAAGGGATTGCGACGTGACCATCCCCCCTGGGGGGGTGATTTCTTGTTTTCTGTCTCTATGTCTCTCTCTGTCTGTCTGGTGAGCGCATGTGCCCTATAGCGAAAAAAACCTCTCAAAAAAAAAATTCCTAAAGATTCCAAAAGTGTGTCTTTAGCACCTATTATATGTCCACATGAATAGGATGCTGAAAGGAGAGTTTAAAGAGGAGTACAAGATACTTGACCATAAATTCTGGATGTGAAGAAAAGTCATAAACACACAAGAAATTACATAACCAAATGGTTGATATTGTGTTATTTTGAGTTTTTTTCCTTTTTTTAATTCTTGATAGGACTGTCCAATAAAGAGAATGGAAGAGGCTATCCTACTCAATCAAACTTCTGCCGTGACATATTTTCGGCTTAGAGGTTTATCTGTAAATCAGAAAGTGCAGATGGCTGCATTTTTCATGTTCCTCGTGTTCTATGTCCTGACACTGATTGGGAACATCCTCATCATCATAACTATTATCTATGACCGCCGGCTCCATACCCCCATGTATTTCTTCCTCAGCAACCTGTCCTTTATTGATGTCTGCCACTCCACCGTCACTGTCCCCAAGATGCTGACAGACACCTGGTCAGAGGAGAAGCTCATCTCCTTTGACGCCTGTGTGGCCCAAATGTTCTTCCTCCACCTCTTTGCCTGCACAGAGATTTTCCTCCTCACCGTCATGGCCTACGACCGCTACGTGGCCATTTGCAAACCCCTGCAGTACATGATAGTGATGAACTGGAAGGTATGTGTGCTGCTGGCGGGGGGCCCCCGGGCACAGACACCTGGTCAGAGGAGAAGCTCATCTCCTTTGACGCCTGTGTGGCCCAAATGTTCTTCCTCCACCTCTTTGCCTGCACAGAGATTTTCCTCCTCACCGTCATGGCCTACGACCGCTACGTGGCCATTTGCAAACCCCTGCAGTACATGATAGTGATGAACTGGAAGGTATGTGTGCTGCTGGCGGTGGCCCTCTGGACAGGAGGGCCCATCCACTCCATAGCCCTGACCTCCCTCACCATTAAGCTGCCCTACTGTGGTCCAGATGAGATTGACAACTTTTTCTGTGATGTACCTCAGGTAATCAAACTGGCCTGCACTGATACGCACGTCATTGAGATCCTCATCGTTTCCAACAGTGGGCTGATCTCTGTGGTCTGTTTTGTGGTACTTGTGGTGTCCTACGCAGTCATCCTGGTGAGTCTGAGGCAGCAGATCTCTGAGGGCAGGCGGAAGGCCCTGTCTACCTGTGCAGCCCACCTCACCGTAGTCACCCTTTTCCTGGGACACTGCATCTTCATCTATTCCCGCCCATCCACCAGCCTCCCTGAGGACAAGGTGGTGTCTGTGTTTTTCACAGCTGTCACCCCACTACTGAACCCCATCATTTATACCCTTAGGAATGAAGACATGAAGAATGCCTTGAATAAGCTAATGGGGAGGAAGGAGGGAAAAGAAGAAAAATGAAACTGGCTAAGCCCTCATAATGTCAGGTGCTCGAAATCAATTATCTTGAAAAAAACAAGTTACGCATGCTATTTACCAGACCATCTGACTTACAACACTATCCTCTGGCCCAACATCTGCTAATTATAGCAATAGATATGATTAGTAATATTTTCCATATGCTGGAAATTTTGTAGGCACTGTGCATTTTATGTAATTCTTACAATAACCCTGGGAGGTAGGTATTATTATGCTTGTTTATACATAAAGAAACTAAAGCTGAAAGAGAGAGAACAGCATGCCTCAAATGATTCAGCTAGGAAACAAGACGGGATGTAAACCACGGTATCAACATAAACTCAGGCCATTCTTATAACATCGTGCTGTCTCTCCTGTTCTGCCGTTAGGCTGATAACCAACTCTGAACAAACCTTCAGATTTCTGAGCAGGCCTGGCCTCCATGATTCACTCAGATATTTGGCTTAACAGCTTAGTGGACATTGGTAAATCACACAAAAAAGTTTGCATATAACTTTGGTGACTGAGAAAGACAATTTTGCATCATTGAAGTTATTAATTCTCTTAATCCACCCTCAGAGCAATGAAATAGGTATGTTTTATTATTCATTCATTTGACAAATATTTACTGAGCATTTCTTATACGGTAGTTACTAAGTTTATAGTCATAAATTAAAAAATATATAATCCCCACTTTGTGGAGATATGTGACAATAGAAGACAAAAATATGAACAAATTGGGACCAGCACATGATGTAATGGTTATGTTGCTGGACTCCCATGTAGTCATCCACAATTTGCGTCCCAGACCCAGCAGTTTAAAACTCACACCAGGTGCATGTGCATGTGTGTCCAAGATCCTGAGAGGAGAATGGAGGAGAAGGGACTGTGCCGTGGCCATCCTCCTATTGATTTCTAGTTGTGATTTCTCACTTTCTGTCTCTCTGTCTCTCTCTATCTCTCTGGGAAGTGCACACACCCTATAGCAAAAATCTCTCTTTAAAAAAAACATAGATAGATAGATAGATAGATAGAGAGATGGACAAATAAATTTTAGCTGCAGATCATGACAAATGCTGTGAAAGAACAGAGCAAGATGTTAGAGAGTAATGAAGAGACTGTCCTTAGAGTGAGGAGGCTTTCTCTGAGGAAGTTACATTCAAGCTGTGAAATAAAGAAATAAAGAGAAAAGTAGAAACTGATGATGTAGAAAATATGAATAATGAAGAAATTCCAATTAAACCAAAATAAGAATCTAAAAAAAAAGAAAAAAACCAGAAAGATGACAAAGAGCCACCACAAGAATAGAGAGATGATGAACATTCTAGGTGGAGGAAGTGGCAGATGCAAAGACCTATGACGGGAAAGACATTGGCTTGTTCCAGGACATTATGGGAAAGACCTTGGCTTGTTTCAGGAAATGAAAGATCAACGTGGTTTCAGCTTAGACCGTAAGGCAGAAAGTCAGAGAATGAAACCAAAGAGGTAAAAAGAATCCTTCCTTGTTCTCCCAGGGAGATTAGGATCTTTTTCAGTGCAATGTTAAGCCACCAGAATAGTTTATACACAAAACTGGCATGACTTGATTTACATTGTAATGCAATTATTTTAGTTATTATGTAGAGAATTCATTCAACTAACATCACTAAACACTTAATAGTTATCTAGTCTAAGAGCTGGGAGGAAATACCAAGGTGAATGAAACAGGGACTGGTTGGTGGGATAACTGAGCCAAATTTTAAAATTAAATAATTTGTGTAAAATAAATGCTTTTATTAAAAGCAATGGCAGACAATACAGAAAAATAGCTTTCTGAAAAGCTCGAATGAAACCACTTTGTGCGGGAATTGCGACACAGAGAAACGCATACAATGTGACAGACAGAACAATGCTCCACAGCAGTTAAGATTGTATCTGGCAAAACTATCACAGAGCAATGATGTCATGTTTGCTTATTTTTTGCAATGGTAGCATGCAAAAGATTTTTGATTTTTTAGGTTTTTGCCATAGGGCATATAGGTAAACCAGAAAGAGAAAAAAGAGGCAGAGGGGGATAGTGAGAAATCACCTCCAGGCAGGATGGCCACACCAGAATCCTTTTTCTCTTCTCCTCTCATGATATTGAGCATGCACACACACACACACACACACACACACACACACACAGATTTTCAAGCTGGGTCTGAGACTCAAACTGCAGTCATTCATGTGAGAGAACAGCCACAGCACCTGCTGACCCTGCAAGGAAAAGTTTTAAAACTATATTTTTTATTTTAATTTTTAATAATTTCTTATTTACATTTAATCATTGTACATCTTTGTGAGATATAATATGGTTTTTCAAAGCATGTCATAATCAAATCAAGGATCTTACCATTTTCATCATTTTCAACAAAGAAAAACCACCTATTTTCAACCACATTAATCTTCCCAATTCTCTGGGGAGGTAAAAGAAAACACTTATTGGGACCAGCATTTAGCATAATGGCTATGTCACTGAACTCCCGTGTAGTCAACTGCAGTTCAAGTCCTGGACCCAGTGGCTTAAACTCACACCAGGCACATGTGCGTGTGTGCCCAAGATCCCAAGAGGAGAATGGAGGAGAAAGGATTACAACGTGGCCGTCCCCCCTGGGGGGTGATTTCTCGCTTTCTGTCTCTCTGTCTCTCTCTGTTTTTCTGGCGAGCACACGCGCCCTGTAGCAAAAAATCAAGGATCTTACCATTTTCATCATTTTCAACAAAGAAAAACCACCTATTTTCAACCACATTAATCTTCCCAATTCTCTGGGGAGGTAAAAGAAAACACTTATTGGGACCAGCATTTAGCATAATGGCTATGTCACTGAACTCCCGTGTAGTCAACTGCAGTTCAAGTCCTGGACCCAGTGGCTTAAACTCACACCAGGCACATGTGCGTGTGTGCCCAAGATCCCAAGAGGAGAATGGAGGAGAAAGGATTACAACGTGGCCGTCCCCCCTGGGGGGTGATTTCTCGCTTTCTGTCTCTCTGTCTCTCTCTGTTTTTCTGGCGAGCACACGCGCCTATAGCTAAAAAACTCTCCAAAAAAAAAAAAAATTATTATTCTCTATTTCCCTAAAAAAACTTTTTAGACTCAGAGACAACATTAAAATGTGTTTATCTACTCACTGGATAAATAAAGTAAGCAACAAATAAAAATATCTTGACTCTTGGCTGTGGAGTTGACTTACTTTAAAGAGTGAAGGGGAGTCAATATTTATCAATATACAAATTTGTTCAGTAACTTTGTATTCAATAATTTAATTCCTTAGGCTATAATAATTTTCCATGCAATAGAGTGATACTTCCATAATACTAATAAACAAATGAGGCATTGGTAATTAATTTTTTCATAAAAGATACTAATGAGTAGGAATATTTGTGCATATGAAAGTCCAGCATGTAGTGACATATGTAAGGGTCCAGAGATTGGTCTAACTGATGGAGACACAGAAAAGACAGCGACAATGCAACTGCAAAAGAGGCTTTTATTTTTCCAGCTAGCTGGGGTCCAAGTTTCAGCCCGTCGCAGCGGGCCTTCACAAGGACCCCGAGCCTAAGATAAAGGGATCTTTTATAGTTCAGGATGTTCTCTAGACTGTAACACACAAAGGAAGGGGGGGTATGAGAAACGAGGGTACAGCTTTCAACCCCTGCTCAGGTCTAGATAAGGGCTCTCCGATAAGGATTTGGATGACCTTGCCTCGGAGGTGCTGGGCCCTCCCGTTTTCCACTTATCTGAGAGTTCCCAGACTCCTGGTTCCCGTCCTTGAGGCCCTAACAAAGTGGGCTCCGTCCCTGAAGACTCAACAGGGTAGTGATTAAGCTAACTTCCCCAGCATTCCCTAACATGGCGGTGATTTTGCTAATTCGGCCTAACACATATAGATAATTTTTCTAAGTTTTTATCACTTGTGTAGTCATGATATCTGGGCCTCAATTCATCAGAAATCTGTATAACTTGTTTTGACTTGCGTTTTATATGATAATTATAGGGGACTGAATAATTTATGTTTGTCAATTTGCAAATAATAGTATTTAGATATCTTCATGATCACCTTCTCCGTTTAATTTTCTGGTCCATATCAATATGTTGCTCCATTTCTTATAAATTCTGATTTCTATTTTATTTAACTACTATTTTTTATATTTTCTTCCTTTTCTTTTAATTTGCCAAAGAGCATGTGCACTCATCAGAGACAAAGAGGGAGAGGAAGAAAGCAACCCCATGGGGCAATCACTTCCCCTCCATTTCTCCATCCTATTGGGATTTGGGGCACACATGCCCACATGCCTGGCATGTTTCTCAAGCTGCTGGGTCTGGAATTCAAGCTGCATAGGCAGCCATGTGGGATCCAGCTCCCTTAACCACTAGATCATGTGACCAACCTCTATTCTTATGTTTTTATGTTGTTTCCACAAATAATATTTTTATGAAATATAGGAGAAATATATATATATGTTTATTCCCACTTGCTTCACTCATTTACTACTAATAAAAACCAGCTAGAAATATCAAAAGCATTATACACAAGTTTCATGTATGAAAGAATAGGGAAAGGTTATATGGATATCTTTTAAAGTCTTGTACTCAAGCTGTAGACTTTGACCTGCAGCATCAGTGTCACCTGGAAGCTTGCTAGAAATACAGACTCTCATATCCCAACCCAGAACTACTTAATCAAAAAGATCCCCACTGATGTCTATGCACCCTATATTTGAGAAACACTATTATAGACCATTATGTGTTGTAGGATGAAAAGAATCAACGTTAGAAGATACAAGTGATGGGACCAGCAAGAAGTAAAGGCACCAGAATCCCACATGGCTGACTCCAGTTTGAGTACCGCACATGGTGGCTTGCTTTCTCACTTTCCCTCTTTGTCTCTCTCTATATATCTCTAGTGGATGCACATGCCCTATATCAAACTTAAAATAATAACAAAAATTAAATTAAATAAATAAATAATTTTACACATGT